TCTATCAAAACATCATGTGTACCCCATAAAGATATAACTATTATGTATCCATAATTAAAAATTAATTTAAAAAAAGGAAATCCCTACTGTTAGATGTTAAGTTCTATCCAATTACTTTAGTATAAAATTGCATTGTGATGCCCAATTTTTGCTATTATAAATAGTGCCACGTGATGACTGCACCATCCACTCAAACACCCGCAACACCCTGGACATCTCTCCCCACCCAGCAATACCAGTCCACCAGCAACATCTCTGGACCCTGCTTTCTACTCAGCCGCAGGCTCTGTGCCTGTCTCCTGACATCTAGTTTAGTTAAGGCCTCTCCCCCTCCAGTCTGGCCCCGCAAGGCCCTCCACCCATGGTCCACCATGATCTCTTCCTGAGAGGCAAATCAGATCATGCTGGGTGAAGGCAAAGCCCTTCAGTGGCTCCGGGGGTTAGGAGCTGTCCCCAAACCCTCCCCAGACACCTCTCTAGGGACTGGTCACAGCCCAGGCCTGTAGTTCCTCTTCCTTCTGTGACTTGCAACTACAGTTCCTTCTCCTCCATCTCCCAGGAGGCCTCAAGGCTTCCCAATTCACAGCCCCCAGACTCACTGCTGCTCTAGATCCACCATATTTACTGCTGTCTCCTCCATCAGACCAACTGTGGGCTCCCTAACAGCAGGAGCTGTTTGAGTCCCAGGTCCCCAGGTCCTAGTCCAGTGCCTCCCACACACAGGCTCACAGGACTTGAATGGTTGCGAGCAGTCCTGAGCCTGTATTCAGCTGTCAGCCTCAGCCTCCCACATAGCTGCTGGAAGGCGTGCGCCATTGCACCCAGCTCCACACCACTTCCTATTGTACATGTGGGGGCACATCAGACCACACCCAGAAAGCACTGAGAACAGGCCCCTTGGCTCACATCAGTGCTAGCTCAATAATAATACAATAGCCAGACGTGGTAGTCCCTGCCTATAGTTTCAGCTACTCAGGAGGCTGAGGAGGGAGGATCACTTAAGCCCAGAAGTTCGAGGCCAGCCTTGGCAACACAGTGCCCCCCCCAAAAAATAAACAAACAAACAAATAAATAAAAATACAATAATGCATTGATTTCTATCCAGCTCAACTTTGCATCCCCCTCTCCTTCTATGGCACCCACTGCCATACTTGTTGAGTCCCCCGAGGACCTGCCCACACCTTCTACCTTCTGTGGATCCCAGCCAAGTTATTCCTGCCACCATCAGCCAAGCCGAGCCTTCCCCTTTCCAGCCATAGGAGCTACTGACTTCCAGCTCCCTTAAGAAACTGAGCTTTGGATGGTGACCAAAATATTGCCCCTCACCCCAGCCAGCTAAAGCATCCAATATCTCCACAGACATGTCCAACTGGACCCTCCTTTGACCTTCAACCTCATATAGCCACAGGCCCCCAACCCAGAGCCAGCATCTCAAAGTCACCTCCATGACTGAACCTACATCTGTGGACCTCATGGATTCTCTCTGACCCCGTACCCACCCACCAGTCTCAGCACTGGAGGGGTGGTGGTCAGCAGACCTCCCTCACATCTGGGCTGCCCAACCAAGGTGAAACCAACTGTCCCCACACAGGATGAACATTTTTTCATATCATTTTACCATCATTCCTCAAGCTTTCACAGCCCAAATCTACCTGAAAGATACGAATATATATACATACTCCTACCTGTGTAGACTCTGGGGAAGGACATGCAAAAGGACATGCAAGAAACTGATAAGAGAGGTGGCCCCTAGGGAGGAAGGCCTGAGGCCCAAAGACTGCAACAAACTTCCTTCTCCCTGGAGACCCTCTTGTATTTCTGCTTTTTATTATGTGCATATATTCCTTCTCTTTCCTCCTCAAAAAAATAAATAAATAAATAAAAATTATCCCACACCGGAGAGTCCACATAAAAGAGGAACTTACCACTGATTTTTTCTCTTTTTCCTGTTCTCTATCTTTATCTACAAAAGAAAGGAAATCAATTTTTAAACTCAGTTTTAAGCAACTCACTCTTCTTTGCCCTAATTTGCTAAATGACCACAAAAGCAATAGTTTTTATGCCTGCTCCCTAGCCTAAAAGTTTTCCAATTCGGGGACCCTCCGTGGGTGAACAGTGGCACACTCACTCACCACTGTCTGCCTACGTGCGACACTGTGCAGCGGCAGCCTGGGTCCAGTGGGCATGTCGGCCCTCAGTGCGCTCAGGGCCTTTCAGTTAGCGTGTTATACTGTCCACTGTCCACACATTTTATATTTAGATCTTCACAGATGGGTGTCCAGCAAGTGCAAACGCAGAGCGGCGGCCTTCACTCACAGGGGCCCGTGGGGAGAGTGGGCGGTGGGCATGGGTTTGGGCCTTGGGCCCAGGTTCTCCCCAGGCCCAGGGCTGACATCGCTGCCCACCCGGCCCACAGGTGGTTCTGGGGCACCTCTCAACAGCGCAAGCCAGAACCTGGCGATAGCGGTGACCCACTTCTGAGTGGGTCCCCATTACCACGGAGGGCGGGAGGGGAACCTAAACTCAATTTTCACCGCCAGTGGCGCCAGGGTCCGCTGAAAACTGGTTACACGCAGTGCACCGCCAAGGCCTAAAGAACCAGACCAGGAAGTGGGCTGGGAGACCCTGGCCTGAGTCGGAATGTTCGGAGCAGCCTCCGCCCCACGGGGTGGGGCTCCTTCGTGCTCTTTAGAGCTCCTCTCCCCCGCCCAGCACAACAACCGGCCCCGGCCTGGGTACCCTCTAGTGACCGCCCTGCCCCTCCTCGCCACCCCTCGCCATAGCTCAGGGAGAAAACGCCGCGCCTCGGAGGAGGAGTTTCGGGCTCCAGCGGGGCCCGCGAGCCGAGGGGCGGGGAGTGGGGGCCGCATAGCGGCGCCGTCACTAGGGAAGAAAAACACGAGTTACCCCGAGGCCAGGCCAGGCGCTGCGTCCCCCGCGGCCCGGGGCCCGAGGCGGGGATCCCAGGGCTCCCCGGCCCAACGCTGCGCAGCGCTCGGGCGGCCCAGCCCCGCAGCGGCCTCAGCAGCATGGCCGGCCGGGCGGATCCGGAGGCCCGGGTTTCCTTCCTGAGCGAGTCGGCGGCGCGAAAGGCCGCACGTCCAGACTCGGCGCACAGTCTCGGTCCCCGCGCCCGCCCCGCCGGGGCGCCTGCTGGTGCCCGGCCCTTAAAGAGACCGGGTTGCATTTCATCCTCTCAGCGAGAGGGGAAATAATCCGAGGTGAAGAGTTCGCTGCTTGCAGCCAGAAAGTCTTCCCGCTGCCAGGACTCTGGCAGAATGCACCCATGACCTGACAAGACTCGAGGATGGAAGGCAATTAATACCAGCGACTGACTGGTTAATTAATGATCGCAGATTACTTAATTGGGCACCTACTCTTCAGACACCTGGCACTCACTCATGATATCATTTATTCCTCCCAACAACCCTGCCAATAGATACTGTCACTCCCATGCTTCAAGCTTGTCCTCAGAGAATTAGGTAACTTGTTCAAAATGATCATAAGCATTCGTTAAAGGGTGGAGCTGCAATTCAAGCCCAATCTGTCTTACTTGACAGTCCAAGCTCTTTCCTCTGAATTTTGACGTTTCCAAGGTCTGGACCCTAAATGTATTAGATCCCTCAGGAAGGCACAAACAATATTCCAACTGGACAAAAAAAGGGTGGAGGGGATACCTGTAAGATCCATCTATAGTCAGGTAGCAAAAACTCAGCCCGGGAGTCAGGCAGTGAGCCTGTAGTCTCAGCTACTAGAGAGGCTGAGGTGGGAAGATTGCTTTGAACCCAGAAGTTCCAGGCCAGCCTGGGCAATACAGCAAGACCTTTGTCTCTAAATAAAATAAAATAAAAAATTTTTAATTCAGCCTTTGTGTGGGGGAGTCAGGTATAATTCAACAGGCCCAGACCCAGTAATGGGAGCTAGACTGTATATGAGAGCTCCAGTGCTTGGGTGGAAGGGTTTCCCACCTCTCCCAGTCGCTGGCAGTCGCCTCTTAGGCAAGGAGAAGTCATTTGCCAGAGAGATCACTTAGCCTCTAGATCTGTTATCTGAAAGCCACCACCCCATCTCGTGCTTCCTGCATGTCTGCCACAGGTCTAGCAAGTGTGCTGTCCAGAAATAAAGTTCAGGATAAAGGTCAACATATTTGGGATGAGGTTGTTGGAGGTTAATTGCTGATCGGACTTAACAGAATGAAATGAACTAAGGCTGAGATGGGCAGGATCCAAAGAAATCTGAATCAGACTGGGTGATGGCCAAATTATCCAAGACAGAATTTAAACCACATAAAAGGAGCGACATACACTTCACATCCCTCAAGAGAAATGCTCCAAGATGGTGGAGCTCAGAGCTGCAACTTCATGGGAGCGCTTGTGAAAAACACAAATTAAATTCAAGTATCTGAAAGAACTAGCACCAGTGGGAGGCAAAAGTAATAGTATACGGAATAGACTGTGATGCTCTGGGGGCGGCAAGGAGAGGCCCAGGCGGCAAGGACAGGCCCAGGCCATTAGTTACGGCTACACACACTCTATACCTGTGTGCCAGACCCTGGGAACCCTGCAAGGAGAGAAGCAGATGGGTCCCTGCTTTTGTGGAGTTTATATTCTTATGATATGCTGAGGAGTGATGGTGGCTACTCTAGACTGGGTGACAAGGGAAATCCTCTGGGTGGCATTTGAGATGCCCTAGGTCTGAGGAAGCAGGACAGCCATTCCTGGACCTCTCCCCTTCGCCTCCGTCCCTGTTCTCTCCCCAAAACCTGGGAGCGCTTCCCGGCAGGAAAGCTCCTCAGGAGAGCTGGAGAGCTGTGGACATTAGTGCCAGGCAGGTCGGGGCGGGCCAATTGGGGGTCGTTTCCGCAGATGTACTAAGGACAAGCCAGAGGAGGCGACCAAGATAGAGCAGCCGGCGGGCGGCTCCCGTGTGGCGCATGCGCAAGAGGGGGGGGGGCTGTCGGGACGCCGTGCGCATGCGCATGCGAGGGCAGGCAGCCGAGAAGCGCGGCGCGCGGCCGCGGCGGCGATTGTCGTCGTCGCGCAAGGACCAGTGGGGCGGCGCGCTGAGGAGAAGGGTTGAAGGGGAAGCGCGTCTGTTGGGTATGCGGGCGCGATGGAGGCTGCGCAGCGGAAAGCACAACATCGCCCCTTCTGCTTCAGTGTGAAAGGCCACGTGAAGATGCTGCGGCTGGTGAGGGCCAGGCTGCGGGGCGGGAGGCGGGATTCGAGGTGCTCTAGGGCAGTGAGGTGTGGCTGTTAAGTGGGAACCAGAATGCCCCGTTTGCTCTTGCAACCTTGCTTTTATCAGCGCCTCCGCAGGGCAAGGCATTTCGTTCTGCCCCCTGGGGGAAGGAGAGAGATAAGGCACTGTCCTCCCCTTCGCACTGTTTAGGGACACACTCCTAAATCAAAAGCAGCAGATCTACCGGAATGGCCTGTATTTGGACCCACAAACCGGGTACCCGGGTTAGCGGGCGAGACAGCTGCAGTTGTACCACTGAGCCCACAAGATTTTTTTTAAAAAGTGTGTGGTGTTTCCGTGGGTGCTGTGAGTACTTACTATTAAAATAAGTCAGACATTTGATGTGACCGAGCCCAAGGCCGATACAGTCCAGAGCTAGGACAAGAAGGAAACTGCCCATCTCTAGGGCTTCAGGCTTCCGAGGAGCATTGCAGTTAGTTTTGAACAAAGGTTTGGAGAAAGTGAAGCATCATTCAGAGGAAAGAGACCTGGCTTCTTAGAAAAGTGGAGATTGTCATAATTGAAAGAGTCTGTCACAGAAATTCAAACAGTGAAAACTTAAGGGAAAGGAAGACATAAATTGTTTTACATTTTAAGGAGTTGACATGTGGGAGAGGGGTAGAAATAAAATAGTTAAAATTTACAGGAAAACATTTCCGCTTAATATGAAGAAGAATTTTTACATTGGTAAAGGTCCCAAAATTAGATGGCCACTTGGGAAGGCAGTACCTTCCCAGACAGTAAAGGTAACAGGCGTAGATGAACGTTTGATGAGGAAGTTGTAAAGGAGACTCAAATTTAAGGTGCGTGTAAGATCCTTCCCACACTAAGTGTCTGTGATTGTGAGAAATAGCTATAATATGATAAAAGTTAGAATGTGTAAGAGAGGCTTGGAAAACCACTTTGGAGTCAAAGGAAGAAGAAATTACTTTTGGTTAGGAGTAAATAATCAGGGAAAAGGGGACCCAAAGGTCTGTAATTTGATGTCAGGTACTGAAAGCTCTGGAACACTGGAGGAGGAACAGGGTTTTGTGAGAAAGACTTAGTTTTTGACATATTGATTCCTTCACCAAACCATTTAAGTATTTAACATGGTCCAAGTTCTGGGCTAGGACCTGAACAACAAAGATGAACCAGAACAAAAGTCCCTGACTCATGGAGTTCTTCACTTTAGTCAAGGAGACAGACATATGAGCAGATAGCTATAATGTGTGATAAGGTGGAAATAGGGCACAGAATTGAGACATCTAACCAAAGAAATAAACAGAGATGTCAGAAAATTCTTCCTAGAGGAACCTAGGGTTGACTCTAAGGGAAAGCTACCTGAACAAAGACATGAAGGCAAAAAAAAAAAAAAAAAACATGATTTATGCAGTGAACTCTAAGAAGTTGAGTGTTGCCTCAATTATTCATTCAAAAAATATTTATGGAATGCCACTGTTTCAGGCTCTTGAGAAATATCAGTGAACAAAACAAAGATCTCTGCCCTCATAGAGTTTACATCTTAGGGTGGGAGGGCAGGGAAGACAAACACAGTGAATAAATTACATGATATTCTAGAAGGTGATAAGTGCTGTGGAACAAGAGAAAAGTAAAGCCAGGTAAGGGGAGAGGGAGTTGGAGAGGAGGGTTACAGGTTGCAATAATAAATAGAATGATCGAGTTAGGCCTTGTTAAGATGACATCTGATCAAAGAATTGAGTGAGGTGAGGGAGTCAGCTATGAGAATATCTGTAGGAGGAGGAGTATTTAAAGCAGAGAGTATCGACAATGGCCTTATGTCAGGAATATGCCTGAGGGGATCAAGAAAGAGCAAGGAAACCAGTGTAACTGGAGTAGAGTGAGTAAGAGGAATACAATGGGGATGAGGAAGGTTTTGAGTAAAGGAGTATATGATCTAACTCACGTTCTTTCAAAAAAATACACTTGCTGGTATGTTGACAGTAGATTGGTGTGGAGGGACAGAAAGGGATTCCTGCAGGGGCAACAGTAGAACCAAGGAGACCAATTGCGGTAATCTGGGCAAGAGATGATGGTAGCTCAGACCAGCCACTTGGTGGCTGGTGGTAGCAGAGTAGGTAATAAAAAGTGGTCACCTTTGGGATATAGTATTTTGAAAGTAGCACCAGTAAGACTTGCAGATGAAACAGATGTGGGGTGAAAGAAAGAGAGGAATCCAAGATAACTCCAAGGTTTTTGGCCTAAGCATCTGGAAGAATGGAGTTGCCATCTGCTGAGATGGGAGAGCTGATGGATAAAGCAAATGTGAGAGGCGATCAGAAGTTCAGTTTTGGATTGCAATATTAAATTAGAGTTATCTATTAGACATTCAATGGAGAGTTGGAATAGACAAGACTGGATTTTGGTAGAGAGGTCAGGCTTCAGAAACAGGTAATTTAACATCATAATATTGATGAGGTCAAGAAGAGAAGAGTATAGTTAGAGCAGAGGAGGAGCCCTGGAATGCTTAACATTGAGAGATTTGGGAGTAGTGGAGGAACCAGCAAAGAAGAATGAGAGGGAACATTTGGAGAAGTAGAGAAAACCAAGAGTATGGTGTCTTGTCAACTGTGTCAGATACTGATGATAGTTTGAGTAAGATTACGACTGAAAATTAACCATTGCAATTATCCTGTGGGTAAATTGTGAAGCGAGTCTTTGCTAGAGAAGTAAATAAGAGCTGAATCATGGAAGACCTTAAATACATGGTGAGAAGTAGGCCATATTCTAAAGACCATGGAGAGCCATTGAAGGATTTTAAATAGATGAAGAAATGCATTAACAAATTTACATTATAGGAATTTTACTGTAGTATCTTTGTCATGGTAGTTCAAGGAAAAGATGCTGAAGGGCAGTAGTTCTAAGGATAAAGAGGAAGGAACACCCAAAATGTTTAGGCATTAAGTCAGCAATACTTGATGATTCATCAGTTGTGGGGAATGAGTCGGAACAGTGATCTTAGGTTCCTAGCATGGGTGATAAGATAGATGTGGTACTGTCAATTGACGTTGTGAATACAGGAGGAAGGGGCAAGATAAGTTCAGTGTTAGACATTGTGAATTTGAGATTTCTGTAGATTATCCGGATGGGGATTCTAAATGGCTATTTATGTGTGAAGTGTAGAGGACAGACCTGGGATAGAGACCCAGATTCATTGAGTGGAATGTGGACAAAATTCAGAGGAATGCCAGATATTAAAGGGGTGGATAAAAGAAGAGGAACCAACCAAAAGAGAACAGTTGAGGTTTAAGAATTAGAAAAGATGACATGGGCCGGGCACGGTGGCTCACGCCTGTAATCCTAGCTCTCTGGGAGGCCCAGGCGGGCGGATTGTTTGAGCTCAGGAGTTCGAAACCAGCCTGAGCAAGAGCGAGACCCCGTCTCTACTAAAAATAGAAAGAAATTAATTGGACAACTAAAAATATATAGAAAAAATTAGCCTGGCATGGTGGCGTATGCCTGTAGTCCCAGCTACTCGGGAGGCTGAGGCAGGAGGATCGCTTGAGCCCCGGAGTTTGAGGTTGCTGTGAGCTAAGATGACGCCACAACACTCTAGCCCGGGCAACACAGTGAGACTCTGTCTCAAAAAAAAAAAAAAAAAAAAAAAGAAAAGATGACATGGAAGCCAAAAGAGTAGAGTAGTAGGAGGCAGGACAGCTAATGGCAAATAAATCATAGGAGTCCACTTGGATAAGGATTGAAAAATATTTGTTAAATTTAGTACTTCTGAAATCATCAATGGTGTTAGCAAAAGCAGTTTCCGTGGAATGGTGGAGAAATGTTTGAGATATTAGTGGGCTATTTAAAAGATAACTGGAAACAAAGACCAGGATTTTAGGAAAGATGTAAGAACTGTAAATATGGATCAGGGAAGAACCCAGTGTGACAGAAATCGTGGTAAATTTTAAGAAAATGGAGTAATCACCAATGCCAATTACCATGGTACAAAAAGGTTAGAGAGGATGGGGACTGAAAAGGTGACCTTTTATTTCATTATCTATGAACTCAAGATCTTGATTCAGTAGAGTAAATGGAGTAGTTTGAGATGACATGTTGCTATTAGTAATAATACTGATTATAAACAGTGAAGCTATTTAATAACTAGTTATTGGTAGTCAAATTGACTCATTTAGAAGTTTAAAGGTAAGGTATTTTTACACTAATAAAGTAATTGAAAGAAATATGAATAAGTAGCCTGTATAAATTTAAATTTAAAATAAGTACATAGATGTTACCAGCTGATAGGGTATCATAAAAGTGCAGCCAAGGGAAGACTCTTGGACAAACCATTTACCAAAAACACAAAGAGACTGGGACCCATAAGCTCATTTTTTCCCCTTAACAACTCATTTAACATTGCCATGTTCCATATCCTCGTTTGGAAATGAAGAAATTGGATCAGATTGGGTATCTTCAGGGCTTTGTTTTTTTTTTTTTTTTTCACTTAAAATATCTTAAATTCTGATTGCATTGCATTTAGGTAAAAGTGGTTATGTAAAAGTTGGTACTTTTTGTAATAAAGCTATTAAACATAGAGTTGTTTTTCTCCAACAATTTGTTTTAAACTTTCCTCCTCAGTATTTTTATGGCAACATTGTAAGTTTAAGTTTGACAGTAGATTCCAGATTGCTAAGAGTTGAGTGATGAATGGATAAGAAATTTTAGACAGCAATTTTTTGAGACAGACTTTTTTGAGAAGTGTAACAAGAAGTAGAAAACGGAAGAGTTTCTGTGGGGAGCAGGAGGATGAAAGGAAGGGGGGTTGTGTATGTGTGTTTTAAGTTTATAGGATGACAAAGAAAGAAGCTAGCAGAGGAGGACTGATGGAAAGTACAAGAAGGAAAGGAGACATTTGGTGGGAAAAGATCAAGGGAACTATTGTGTGAAATGATGGTATCAGAAGTACAAGTGGAGTAATTAATCAGAATTAAAACAGGGAGGAACACCTAGTCCTCTTAAACACAAAGAAGTCAATACATTTTAGTATGCCTCTTTTATATGTGTGTGTATATGGCAGGAATTCATTTATTTAGTTACTTTAGAAATTATTTCTACAGCTTAAATTTATATTCAATAGTCATTGAATAAATTATGATTTTTTTTCTTCTAGGCACTAACTGTGACATCTATGGCCTTTTTTATCGTCGCACAAGCCCCTGAACCATACATTGTTATCACTGGATTTGAAGTCGCCATTATTTTCTTTTTCATAATTTTATATATACTCAGACTTGATCGATTAATGAAGTGGTTATTTTGGCCTTTACTTGTAAGTATTCAGTTTCATCCTCAAAATTTAACTACTTTTTCCTGCCATAGTGTGACATTTTGATAAACTCTATTCTTCAGTTCTCTTAAACCTTTAAGGTAATCTCTGATAGGTTTAGGAAGGAGGAACTCTACCCACTGCTAATGTGTTCTGTATTGTCCTGGGGGGAGGTTCTCAGGGATCCGTGGCAGCCACAGAGCATAAATTCTGTGTGTTCCATCTATTAGAAGATATAGCTGATCCCTGTGTTAGAATTCACTTAAGTGTAGATCTTCTAAAGAAATTTAAATTTAGGACCACATTTATAAAATTATAGCACATTCTTAATCTTTACCTCCCTTGTAAATGCATGTTGATATGGCCTCAAAATCAGTGGGTGGAGATGGAGGCAGGTACACAAGTATCTATCCTCACACATCCCTGATCACTAAAGGGAAAATCAAACTAATTGGGGAGGCTGAGTAAAGCATAATATTATCTTGAAAATGTCTGTAATCAGTAATGCTAAATAATGTTAACTCATATTTTGTAGCATATAAACTTCGACCTACTGTATGCATAGCATTAGGAATAACTGCCCAATGGAGTGCCCAAATGGTTCTGAAAACTGTCAAAATAGGCAGATTGAAGTGTGTATAGCCCTTCAGCCTGGACTAGAAGCTGGTTCTAGGAAAAACTGAGTGATTCACCTCTCCTTTTTTAGGTCTCATCCCCAGCAACCTGTCTCCATAGGTCTGCCTCTTAAGTCCCCCTGCTACCCTTCCCCTCTTTGGCTGGACTGATAGCTGCCATGTCTTCCTCTGCTACACTTGACTCACTTGACTCATCATCATAACTCCTATTATGGAAAGAGAACTTTAGAGCTGTTCTCAAACCATAAGCATGCCTTAAAGTAGTACCTTCTGGAACCACCTTTGGAGGCCAGTGGTGAGCATTTCAGGCTAAAACAAGCTTTAAAAGTCCCAAAGGGGAAAAGCTGTGAAATAGAGTCTTCATAGCACCTCTCAAAACTCTTACTTGATCTACACTTCAGAACTGGACCTGATTAGAGGAAGGCCTATGAAAAGAGATTACTAAACCTTCCTTAGTTGGCCCTCACTTAGTGGCAGAAAGGGCTAAAGTAAATTATTCTAAGGATTTCTTGAAGGAGATGACAAAACTGGTCCACATCTTGATCTTGTACTCAAAAAGCCATGTATCAGGAGAGTATGGGTGATTAAAAAAAAATTTGTATAGTTATTCTTCACACTCTGCTCCTGCAGCGTTTACTAAAACTAATGTATTTTAGCCTTTCTTTTTCTCCAAACTGTAATAATTCTCTGGAGCTTCTTACATGACCCAGTAATAAACTTGGAGCCCCAAGTTTAATATAATAGAATACGCTGAGAGAGTGGCTTATGCGTAGCATACTGAAAGGAATAGTCTCCAAATCTCTGAGGACCAAACTTTGCTGAATATAATCTCTTGGAAATGGTGCTATATGGGTAACTAAGTTTTTGCTCCATTATGAAACCCAGATCCCTCTCTGATCTTGATCTAATGAAATTATTTATTCAACAAATGTTAAGTATCTGCTAATCCCAGATTTTGTTATTGGTGTAATAAACATATACCCAGGATGGGGTGGATGTACCCAGCCAGGAAAGGAGACTAAATCACAATAGGCTTATAAAGAAAAACTGCCTGAACCAAAGGCTAAAGGATGAAAGTAGTTAGCAATAAACTCAAACAGGGAAGAAAAAGGGCTTTCCCAGTAGAAGCAGTAGCACATGGGAGGTTCTAGGTGTGGAAAGAGCATAACTCTCCAGGACCTGCAGGTAGCTCTGAACAGCTGGGGTATTAAGTTATGAACGATAAAGGGGGCAGGAGTGGAGGCTTGAGGCAGTAGGGGGATCAGGACATGCAAGGTTTGTGTGCTCCAGGCTTTAACCCAAAGGCTATTAAGAGCTTTTGAAGATTTTTAAGTAGGAGAGTGATCAGTTTACATATCTTGAGAAGATACTGAGATAGGAAGAATAGGTTTAAGGAAGATAGGGGAGAGCAGTATGTAATGAATTCAGTTTGAGAAATATTAGGTTTTAGTTGCTTATGGGATATTGAGGTGGAAATGTTGAGAACAAGTCTGAAGTTTACAGGAGCTAGAGCTGCAGTTTTGGGAGTCATCACCTGGTGATGGAATCTGAGCTCAGATTGGCCAAAATGGCTCAGAGAGAGGATAGAGAGAGCTGAAGGCAAAACTGGCCAACACCAACATATAGGATGAGAAGTAGGAGTGACCAGAGAAAGAAAAGAGAGGGCCCAAGGGAGACTGGCGTCACAGAAGCCAAGGCAGGAGAGCATTTCAAGAAGAAAGGAGTGGTGAATAATGTCACATGTAAAGAGAGAAAGATAAGTACTAAAATATATATATTTGCTGGCTGTATTAATAGAGAGGCTTCTGGTGACTTTTCCAGAATGGTTTGCTTGTGTCAGGTGACAGAAGTTATGGAAGTGAGCAGGGAAGGAAGGAGACAACTAGAGGGGGCACCACTGAGTTGAAGAAATATGGCCAAGGACAAAGAAAGGTGATGAATAGAGTGAGGTCCGTGCAGAGTGGAATGGGAGCCAGAGCACAGCTGGAGAAGTTGCCTGGGACTGTTTAACTAAAGTGAAGGACACAAAGATGGCTGAAGGTTCCAATTAATCTGTAGGTGGGGAAAAGGTAAGTTGTAAGCACTGCTGTCTGATAGCTATTACCTTTGCTGATAGGAGAGTGCTTGGTCATCTGCACTCAGATTGTCTCAAAGTTGCAGTCCGTGATACAATCTGTAGAGCAAGTCTTCTCTAACTGTTCCCCTCAAGTGTCCAAATGACAGAAAACACACAAAATGAGCCAACCCAGGGCTTTGAGGTGGTTATTTAAGTACAGACTCAAAATTTCTCTGAAATATCCATTTTTGTAATTAAATTTACACTCCATGGCAATGTTTTAAATTACTGTTAAGGATTGTTGATGTTCCACAACAGGCATATCATTTTTTTTTTCCTATGGTTCTCTGTGCTCCCTAGAACACCACTTTTATCCAAAGCCATCTATAAATTCTTTCCCAAATTGCTCACAGGAGGCAGAGCTACCTGCTTGAGGTAGAGGTGTGGTCTGTTGCCTTGAAGCAGAACAAAATATCCTGCACAGATCAGAGTTAACCTGGGATAGCTAGTCTCGATGTCGCCTACATATGAGAACTTTTTTCTTCCTAAGTGTATCTAATCTTTCCCTGCCTCATTGAACCTCTTCATACTTTTCTTTTTAATAACTACTTTTCTGAGTTACCAGGGTTTTGAAGTTTGGTATTTCTGTGCTAACAATTCCTTCCTGCCTCCAGTTATCTGCAAACATACATAAACCATTTCCAGAATAAAGATGTATTTACCTTTCCCACATTATACATTCATTCAAAAATGTAAATTGCATTTCTTAATGCCACAGTTCATAAAGAATATGCTTCCCTTTGGAAAATTGTTAAAGGAATGAGAATCGTTATTTCTACATCATCAGAAATAATAACATCATTGGCCAGCCATTGCATATAGGTATATGTAGGAGTTTTCCTGAAAATTGCCACTTTCTCTTAAGTGTACACTGTTTTAAGTTTTATTAATTGCATTTTAGTAACATGAAGTTTGATACATAGTGTAAACTATTCCACATTTTCTTATATTGTTAAAAATGAGCATTTTTACTTCTCAGAGTACCCATTCTGCCTTAAACCTTCTACAAAATACATCATCCACTTTCTTTCCAAACCAGATCAATTCTCCCTCCAACTACATTTATGTTAAGTAAAAAAGAAATGAAAACTTGTTAAGTAAATGATTGGTGTACTAAAGGT